TTTTCTTAGCTGTAAATTGGGAATAAGAATGTGTCCTTTGTAAGATTACTGAAAGGATTACATGGGCTAAAAAAATTTTAAATGCTTGGTACTTGGCAATGCTCAATAAACAGTGTTTTCTAGCTTTCTCCCCTCATGTGGGGGATTATTCATTAGGCTGAGTATTTATCAGGCACCTTACCATGTAAGTAAAGAAGAAAAGAAGTTAAAAAAAAAAAAGGGAAAGAGAAAAGAGCCGTAGGTATTCCGACCTGCATCCCCTCGGAGGTAATGGCAGCTTTGCAGAGCAATGAGGGTCTGTCCCACCCCGTTGTCCTCAAGGGAACCTCACCATCCAGCGGAGCCACAGGCTGGTCTCACTGGCCGTGCGCAGAGTCACGTTGGCTGGGGCCATGTCAGGGGGCGCCTGGAGGGTCTGGATCTTTCTAGAAGGCTGACTGGGTGGACTGGTACCTACGATGTTCACCTGGCGCATGCGGAAGCTGGGGTGGAGGTAGGGGATGAGCAAGATGGCAAGGGCAGGAGGTCAGGGCCAAACCCTGTCCCAGTCTGGGCAGCCCTCCCCTGCCCTGCCCCATTTACCTGTAGTAGGTGAAGGGGTTGAGGTCGGGCACCTCCATGGAGCGGGCATCGGGCTCATTGGCGAGCTGGTGGATCAGAAGCCACTCCTCTCCCTCCCCGACCACACCCACCTGGAAAAGGGACCACCCTTAGATCTGTCCAGCCTACAGGGCTGAGATGGGGGTGCTCTGAGCCCCAGCTCCTAGGAGGTACAAGCTCTGCCCAAGGAAGGTCTTGGTTCAATCCCTGGCTCATCTGGAGGGCACCAAACGGGGCCACCATCCTTCCAGGCCCTTAAATGTGACTTCGAGTATAACTCTGAGCCCTCCTGCTTTGGAAGCTCATGGAATGCTTGTTATAAACACATTCCTAGACCCTACCCTAGACCTGACCAATCAGAACCCCTGGGGTTGGTGCCCAGGAATCGGTGCTTTTAACCAGTGCCTCAGATGACCCTAGGGTGCTTCTGAAAACCAGGCTGCTCCTCACACCAGCTAAATCATAATCAGAATTGCCAGGGGTGGGACGCAGGTGTCGGAGCTTCTGAAGGTTCCCCTGATGATCCCAGGGTGCAGCCAAGGCTGAGAATCACGGGTTTAGAGGACTGCAGGCAGCGACCGGTTATTTTTCCAGGTGACCTGGTCACCACCCTGCCCCAGGAGGGGACTGGTGTGTGTGGATGTTTTCACATGCACAGGCGAGGTGAAGGCAGAGATAACGTTGGGAACCGTGGGCAGTTTTGGCGTATTTGGCCATTGATAGTTGCATGTGAAAACTCACACAGCTGGAAATACACAGATGATTTTGCACTCCAGGGCATGGGAATGCTTAAGGCCAGGGAGCAGGCTTCCCGGGCCCCAGGGCTGCCCTCCAGCAGGCTTTACCTGGGCCTCCACCAGCCAGCGGGAGATGGAGGTTTTCCCATCATAGCCCGGCCTGAACTGCAAGGTCACAGAACGGGGGCCGATGTTGGAAATGCCCAGGTTGGTGGGGGCCCCTGGGAGTTCTGGAAAGAGAGAACAGGGAGGGAAAAGAGATTGGGTGAGAAAGTCCCTCTCCATCGAACAGGGCTTTTGGAGAGGGTCGTGTGTCACACTTTTTCTGGAAACATCCCAGGAGAAGCATGGCTAAGGCCTCATCCCACCAACACAGCCTTCGTTCCTGTGTCTTACGATGCACCATGTTCATACCAGGAGGCTGAGACAGATTTGGGGGCTGAGGGGACCTCCCAGGGCTGAGAGAAGGCTCCCAGGGCCAGTAAGTAGGGGTGGGGTATGCAAGGGGCTTCTTCCTGGCAGTTTTGGATGTGAGTGAGGGAGTTGGAGCTGCACAAAACCAAGCCCGGCTCAGAAAGAAACCACACGGGATCAGTCCTCCTCTCCATCCGCACGCAGCCCTGCCACCCCTTCCAAGCCTAATAGTGGCTGAGGGAGGCTAGAAGGACAGTGGCGACAGGAGGCATCTCCTATTTTCCAGCCAGGAAACCTGGGGCCCTTGGAGCACAGGAGAAACAGAAAGAACACAGATTCTGAAGTCAGACTGGGTGAGTTTGAATCCAGCTCCACCACTTCCAGGCTGTGTGGCTTTGGGCACGTTACCTACCTCTCTGTGCCTCAGTGTCCTCCTCAGTAAAATGGAAATGCTAATGGCAACGCCTACCTCAGGGTTGTTGTGAGGATTAAATGAGTTGATGTATATAAGCTCTTAGCTCCATGCCCGGCGAGCTCTACATAAATCCCTGTCAGTGTGACTGTTATTATCACTGGGGTTGGCCAAAGCTCAGGGACCTCAGCCATCTCCATGGGTAGGTCGAGGGATTCTGGCCAGGTCACACAAGCATAGCTTTGCTGATCTGGACAGGACCCCATGGTTATCTAGTCCAACTTCCCAAATATACAGATGGGGAAACTGAGGTACAGAGGGGACACTTGACTTGCTCAAGGTTGCAGAGCTTGGCAGAAGCAGAGCTGAGACTAGACCTCAGCTTGCTCTTTACCCCAGGCCTCAGATTCTTCCCACCGTGCTCTGCCCACTCCCCAAACAACACTCCCATGAGTTGTATCCAATTTGGACTTTCTGGGTGACAGGGAGAACTCTTCCCCTGAATCGGAGGTACGATTGCCTGATGTGGAACCTGGTGTGGGATGGGGGTGAAGGGCAGAGTCGTCCTGCTTTTCTGAGAATTAGCCCCATGGAGTCTCCATTCAGACACCTGGTATCATGGGAATTAAGCATGCTCTGGGGAGCCCAGGAGTACCCCCTGGAGGCAGGCACCTACCTGGAGGCACCCCTGAAGAGATGGTCGAGGCAGACACCTGGCCCTGGCCCTTTGAGGTCATGGCGGCCACCTCGATGGTGTAGGTGGTGAGTGCGGTGAGGCCCGTGACGCGGTACTCCAGGGTCACGTTGGGCAGATAGTGGGTCACACGGGTGTTGGTTCGGTTATACTCCTCCCAGGAGATCCGGTACCCTGGGGAGAGGCCCCAGTGGTGGCATGAGCTTGGCTGTGACCATAGCTGGCCTTGACCTTCCTGCTCTACACTCACTTCTTCACTGGCTTGCAGTTAGATCCACACAGGGAACAAAGGAGCCAAGGGAGGTGGGGGCTGCTGGCCACATGCCTGGGCCCCAGGTATAACCTCAGGGGGATGCCACCACTGGGTGGGGACTGCAGGAGAGACAGCAAGTCATTGTGGCAGCCACCGAGGTCTGTGGCTGAAGACCTGGGGCCATCTGGGATGTGTTATGGAGAGCAGGCACTGAGAGCCGCCCCTGAGGGTTTCTAAGAAAGAGCAGGTCGGCTGGGAAGGTCTGGATGAAAACTAGCTCGAAGGCAGGGGGATGCACGAGCTGACCGTTCCCGGCTCTGTCCCACCCTCTGGTTCAGAAACACCACGGTGCCTACCTGTGAGGATGCCATTCTTCTCTCCTGGCTCTTGCCAGCTGACCTTCAGCGAGGTGTCCAGGATTTCACTGAAGCTCAGATGTCCCACAGGCCCAGGCACTGTACCCCAAAAGGGCCCCCCACCCAACCCAATGCTAGTTAGAGCCAGAGAGAAACCACCGTCTGCAAGACAGCTCATGGTGTCCTGGGTTGCCCAGCATGGGAGACAAGACCAGGACTGCCTTCTGCCCCGAGCGTCCAGCCTGGCCTTGGGTGGGGGTGGGGGTGGGGCCGGGGGGCTGCCTACCATCCTCGTGGGTGCGCACCAGCTGGGGGGCACTGCGGGGCCCGTCTCCGGGGGTGGTGAAGCACAGCACCGAGGTGAAGTACTCGGTGAACTTCTTCAGGCCAGACACAAAGCCCACGTGGATGCTGTCTTGAAAGTTGGGCCGGGCGGTCACCATGGTAGCCTCCTCTTCCTGCTCTGGCTCCCAGGCGATCAGCTGGGGAGAGGCCAGCAATTCAGGCAGGGCAGCAAGAATGTTCCAGAAAAGAACAGGCCTCTCCCACAGGCTGGGCCAATGGACAGAGAATATCTAGGAGCCCAGGTCCCTGGGGTCCCTCCTCCCAGGGAACCCATGGTAACTCATGGGCCACTGGAGCCGGCAGCAAGAATGTTCCAGAAAAGAACAGGCCTCTCCCACAGGCTGGGCCAATGGACAGAGAGTATCCAGGAGCCCAGGTCCCTGGGGTCCCTCCTCCCAGGGAACCCATGGTAACTCATGGGCCACTGGAGCCCTGTGCTCCTGGGAGTTCATTTTGGTGGCCACTCCATTTCTTGGGGCACTGACTCTGCGAGGCACGGTGCTAGGTACTCCCCATGGGTCATTCCTTACTTGATTCTCACAGCGACTCCGCGAGGGAGGCATTTTACCAGGACTGCCTACACGATTTGCAGAGCCCATGCAAAATAAAAATGGAGGGTCCCCTTCTTCAAAAATCATTAAGAACTTCACAATGACAGAAGCAGAGCATTTAACCAAGGGTGGGGCCCTTCTAAGTGTGGAGCCCTGGGTGACTGCAGAGGTTGCAGACTCAGGAAGCTGGCTCTGTATGTTACAGATGAGCAAAGCGAGGTTCAGAGAGGCTGAGTGACCTACACTATGTCACACAGCTAGGGGGAAGCTGAGGTTCTCAGGCTCCAACCCCTGAGCTCTTACACCTTTCTCTATGTGAACCGGGGTAGTTCTCTCCTGGAGTTCTCCAAGGGTCACTTGCTATAGAACTGGGAACTTTAGTTTGTTGGGTAGCTTTCATCCTCTTGCTCCAATTTGGAATTTCAATCTTAAACATCACCTAGAGGCAGGTGTAGGCAAGAAAATCCCAGTTGGACATGCATTGCTTTCTCTCTCATCTCCCCTCTGCACATTCCACCCATCAGTCACCCAAGTCTCTTGCTTCCCCTCTTTTTTTTCGTGGCTGGCTGGTACAGGGGGATCCAACCTCTTGACCTTGGTGTTATAATACTGTGCTCTAACCAATGGGCTAACTGGCCAACCCCTGCCCCTTCTGTTATCTTGCCCCCTGCTGTGTCACCTCATGCGCCTGTTTTCTGGGCCCTTTATCTGTCTCCAGCAATGACAGCTGGTCTTGGAGATTTCCTCATTTATCTGAAGTTGATTAAATAGCAATTAATGGTGAAAAGCAACACTTGATGAGTTTTAATAAGCAAGGGTATTTATAGATATAAAACGATACCATGCCAATGTCTCCTGATTAACTCACGCCTGTAACAATGCTTAATCTTTTCCTTTTCATGGCTGTGTGTTTATAAAAGATGTTTTGAAATTTAATTGGTATTGTGAAAAGATAGCCTATAGCAAGTTAATTAGACACTAATTAGACCCCAAAAATACTAATCAAAAATACTAAGTGGCATTTAATAAGTATGTTAAATATCCTCCTTATTTCACTTATCTTGTTTCATAGCAATTAAACTGCTGAACTTCTTTGGAGTAGATTAAGAAACAAATTTAATGTTTTAATTTAATTTAATTAATGTAAATTTGAATTAATTATGCTGTTAGAATTAATTGTGTGGTGTGTTTCTCAGCAAGTGTAAAATCTGGGTAAATATTATTTTATTGGGCTTTGGCCAATTACAATCAGTACCATTCTTTACAAAATAGACATTGTAAAGTCCCTTAAAACAATATCACCAGGCCTTGCCCACAAAAACGACCAAGAAGAAATGCACAGGGTAAGAGAAGCGTGGTTTTGTGGGGTTATGACATGGATTTCATTATCCTCCAGTGCCACGCTGGAAGCCCAAGATGGTGGCAGGGCCATGGCTTCCCATGGCTGTTTCAAAATATTTACTCCGGGATGTGAGACGCTTGTCCTTTTCCAGCTGCACCCAAAGAGGAGGAGGCTTAAGGATAAGAGGCCTCCCCCTCAGGGCCAGAGAAAGACAGTAGAATTGCTTTTTGCATCTTTTATTGTCCTAAAGCACTTGGGCTCTGGGCAGCTGTGGAATGCAACCTCAGTGCTCAAGGAAACTCACAACAGGGCTATACCACCTGTTGAGCTCTTACTGTGTGCCTGGCCTGGGTTAAGCCCACCAGTGACCAGTCCCATTTAATCATCACAATGAGCATTAGATGAGAATCATTGCTCTATGCTGTTACAAAAAAGCAAACTGAGGCTCAGGAAGGCTGAGAAGCTTGCATGTGGACCCACCAGGAGCTGGCTCCAGATTTGTGGACCCTGAGATCACAATGATGATCTCTGCCTCCCAAAGGTACACACAGCTGCTAGGGAAATTTAGTGTTTCTCTGTGTTGTCTCCTGCCTTCTCGTTAATCAGAGCCAGTGTTGATTCATACTATTAGGTCCTTAGTCTTGGATTCTAAGCAGACTGGGCTCCTCTGAGCAGAGCAATGGGGAATGAGCAGCAGACCTAGGTTCCTGGGACAGGCCATACCCCCTTGGAGAGCAGAGGCCCAGGGAGGCAAACCTTGTAACTGAAGAATGGTGCTGCTGGTGGGACTGGTGTGGTGGTGGCAGAATGTGCAGCCAGCATGGAGAGGAAGGAGGACATGTGAACCTGAGCTCAGCTTTGTCACTTAATGTGGGACCCTGGGGAAGCCATTCCACCTCTCTGAGCCTCAGGTTATTACAGGGGATAGTAATAGCTACCTTGCTGGGCAGGAGCTGACACAGCGATGTGCCTCCTGTTCCTGGTGCAGGCAGTACATTATGGGGTTGAGAGTGTAGGAGGGTATGCATGGCCTCTAGCTACTGGATTAAAAAGAAAAAAAGTAGGGCAAATTCTCTCTCTCTGTCTCTCCTCTCTATCTATCTCTTTGTGTCTACAGAGATTCATATAAAACAACTTGGAAGGCTATGTAAGAAACCAATAACACTGGTTACTTACAGAGGGAGAGTTTGGGGTTTGGGCAGAGTAGAAAGAGGCAGATGGGGGATTGGGGTGGGATGAAGACTTTTTGCTATACGTTGATTTTTTTTGAATCATACAAACATATTTCCTGTTTAAAAAATTAAATTAAAAAATTAAAAAAATTAATTGAACTGGGGGATTTGGCAATTGCAGCAAAATTATATACACATTTACCCTTTGACCCAACCATCTCACTTCTGGGTATCTATTCCACAGCTATCCGGTGAGAACAGGAAAGGATCTATGCAAAGAGCCGTTCAATGCAGAAAGGCCGGTTATAGTAAAAGACTGGAAACAACGAAGTTGTCATCACCAGGGGGCTGGTTGAATAAACTATGGGAGATCTGCACGATAGAGCAGGATACGAATGCATAAAAGGGATAAGGAATGTCTTTACATACTCCAATGGAGTCATCTCCAGGATATTTTGTAAATAATAAAAATTAAAAAAATAAAACCAAGAAAGTGTGGCAATACACTGTCATTTACCTAAGGAGAGGACACAAGATCACATATGTGTGTACTAGCTTATATTACAGAAACGAAGAAAACCAAACCAACCAACCAAACAAAAAGCAATCAAACCTATGGGGGAATGAGAGGGCCAGGATTGAGGCTGATTTGCTCAGAATTTGCTTCATAGGACTGACTTTGGAACCATGTAAATGTTCTACGTAACTATGGAGCAAAATTAAATTAAAAAAATCAATCCCCCAAAATCGAAAGCAAAATTAAGCAAATGACCCCAACAGCGTACTGAGCTGCAGCAAAATTACACAGAGAGAAACAACTCCGAAAGGCTTTGCTGCACAAAAACGTGGCGCATGTCCCTAGTGGGATATACCCTAAGAACAAGAAAACTGCAAATAATCTGAAACTGTTTTCAGTAATCATAGTGCTGATATTACTATTCTGAAGCTGTTCTGTGTATTTGGATAAAATAGGTGGGTAATTATGTTGGTGTTGTAGGAACTGTATTTTCTGTATGGAGAAAGTAGATACAGGAAAAAGGCCAATGAGATTATTAAAAAGCTAGTAGTCCTGAAATTGAATTGGGAGTATCAGGATGTATTTTCTTCCTAGATGTCCATTAACAGGGTCTAAAAATAGCAATTCCTAGAGCAAGGAGCATCCCCAAGTGTCCAGATTGTGGTATCTAATTATCATTTCTGACTACTCCTTGAAGAAAAGGCTGATCCCAGGAAATACACTTGTTTATAGCTGGGAACATCTTGTCATACCAGATTGCAAGGAAGCTATCAGAACCTAGGGGGCCATGTCATAAAGACTCACAAAGCAACGTGGAGAGGTAACAATGGGTCGATGTGACATCAATAAGAAGAATAATAGCAGTGCATTGAAACATATCAGATGTGTCAAAAAAAAAATCCTTAAGTGCATAATAATACTACCAACACCAAACCAAGACAAAAACATACCCCGCTCCCAACCTAAACTCACCTGTCACCTTGGAAGATACTAAGGAACCAATTCATTATACTGGAAATTGGTAAGTAATGGAAAAGAATCGAGCATTGACCATGTTTTTCCTACATGAAGTGAACTTTGGGTAACCAAAAAGTTGATATGGAAAAAATTCTTTTTTTAAAGGATTTCAACTAATAATTCAAGAGGAAATTATAATATTGAATTGCCCCCATTTTGCAACCCCTGTTGAAATAACAGATCATATAAGGACTGTCAATGTCATGATCAAAAAGACAGACAGAATTTGTGCCTTCTGTTGAAATGCACAGCACCATCTAGGAAGTAATATTTTGAAAAAAATAAAAATCTTCAAACCTGAATCTGATCGGCTTCTAGCTCCAAGTTCCAATTTACTGCAAATATAGTGCTCAGAGGAATGTGTTAAATGACCCCACCGGGATGCAATCGGTGACATCCAGACTGTGGAAAATTCTATAGAGCAAATTAATAAGTTTCCTCACCAAATAAATCATAAGAAAAAAAGAAATGGAAAATTCTATAGAGCAAATTAATAAGTTTCCTCACCAAATAAATCATAAGAAAAAAAGAGAAGAGAGAGAGAGAGAGAGACTCTATAGATCAACTGAGACCTAAAAAAACCCCAACCGATTGCAACTGCGTGGACTTCATTTAGATCTTGAGGCAAATAAACCAACTATAACAGAAATTATGTGGCAATCAAGGAAATGTGAAGCCTGACTGGACATCTGATGGTATTAAATAGACTGTTGATATTTTTAGGCATGGTAATGTGGTGATTGTGGTATTGTTTTAAATAGAGACCTTATCTATAATGTCTCTCTACAGAAACATTTATGGATGGAATCATACAATGCCTGGGACTTGCTTCACAATATTCCGGGGGACAGGCAGAGGGCTGGGGGACAGATGGAACACACTGGGCTGTGAGCTGGTAATTGTCGCAGCTGGGGATGGGCACACAGGTGTCCACTACAGTCTTCCCTCTACTTTTGTAGATGTTTGAAAATTTTCAACAATTAAAAGGAGGAAAAAGTCCCTTCTCATTGGAGGTATTCAACGGTCAAACACTGACCTGTGATATATTAGAGGCCAAAGAAGCAGGAAAAAAAATCCCACTTTTATTCATTTGCGCTGCAAAAAAATGAAGTTATAGTTATTATTACAATTTATAATGCTGACATGTCTTCTTTTTAATGTAAATAAAGTGCAGGCTCTAGTTTGAATGGGAGCTCTGCAGTTACCAGAGAATTCCCTCTCGTGCCTCAGTTTCCTCCTTTGCAAGACAGGGTGATGATAATACTTCTCAGGGCTCTTGTGCGGCCTGCACGAGGGAAGAGTGTGGGGACACATCTAGCACACTGCCTGGCATGCTGCCTGGCATGTAGAAAGTGCCCCATGGCGTGAGCTCATCCTACCCTTCCCCGGCTCCTGTGCTCAAAACACTGGGCAGCTCATTCCCACTGACCTTCATCAAGCGGTTGCTGGGTGCTGGGCACTGGCTGAACCTGGAATCCGGCAGGTCTCTGCAGACTCCTCTTGCTCTGGGTCAGCACTGGCCATTGACCCAATTGCCCTGGCCACTGGCTGGCCTTCCTGGCCCTCGGGGGAGATGTTTGCCTTACAAGTTCGTAGCCCAGTCCTCCCATATGTAGAATAAAACTTGTGCTTAGAATTAGAGGCAAGAAGCTAACTGTTCCCAGCTCAGCTCCTTTGCTCCTCGGTGCTGCTGGCCTCCCCCTCTCTGCTTTCCCTTGAGTCCCAGTTACGAGACTTTTCCAGCCAGCTAGTTTAGTGGCAGCACCCTTGGCCTCGGGACTGCCTCCTTCCTGGGAGTTAGTGGGCTGTGGCCGGGGTGTATCCGGCTCTGGACCACCCCTCCTTTGCTTGTTTGCAACATTAGCAGAAAATTCTCTTCGTGATTTAATCTCAGTCCCTTGCTGTCCAGTCTCCCTCAACTTGCAGTAAGAATGGCTGAGGCTGCTGGTCCTAGAATAATCTTAGTGGCACACATGCAAACACAGTGCAGTTGCTAGTCGCTTCAAGGTGACCAGATCCCCGGGCTCACATGCACAGCCTGCAGCACTCTTCTCTTTGCAGCTAGCTTTCTGGTGGCACGCGTACTGGGGACCGGCAACAGGATCGCAACCCTCGGTGTTGCACCCGCACCGTGCTCAGCCAGTGAGCGGGAACCGGTCTCCACATGGGATCTGAACCCTCGGTGGGAGCGCCGCCGCGCTCCTAAGCGGCGCACTCTCCAGTGCGCCACCGGGCCGGCCCCTGGTGTCTTTATAAAAAGACATTAATTAGGAAGACCACACACAGAGGACACCCATGTGAAGACACAGGTAGAAGACGTCCATCCACTAGGCAAGGAGAGAGCCCTCAGGAGAAGCCACTGTGCCCCACCTTGACTTCAGTCCCCCAGAACTGTGAGAAAATACATTTCTGTTGTTTAAGCCCCCAGTCCGTGATGCTTTGTTATGGTAGTCCTAGCAAACCAAGGCACGACCACTGCTGCTACACTTTCTGAGTGCTTGTTATGTGCTTGTCACAGTGCTGAACAAATGACATCTTATCTCACGTTAACCTCCCACAACCCTAAGAAATAGGTATCATTGTTATCTTCACCCAAAGAGAAAACACTAAGTGTATTTTAGTTCCGCAGCACCTGGAGCAGAGCACGGAGAAGGTGCTCAATACGTATTTAGTGAGGGACTGAAGCTCAGACATACTAAGGAACGTGTCTGGGAGGCTAGTAAGAGGTAGAGCTGGGATTTTAACTCAAGTCTGCCTGAGTCTCTAATCCCGTGTCCTTAACCACAGACTATGTGGGTGCTTACATAGCCCAAGGAGACATGTCCCAGTGGGTGCCACTGGAGCCATGCCCTGATGGTAAGAAATGAACGCTGGACTTTTCTGATGGGGCCATGGCTGCAGTCAGGTTCCTGAGCCTGAGATAGACCAGGTTTTGTTATAACCCAGTCTCACTGAGGATGCCTCCTGCACCAAGTGGCCTCGGAGAAAGCCCATGTGCCCTTGGCTTTAGTCACATGTCCTCTGCTTGGCTTGCACCAGTGATTTCAGAAACAGAGGGGGATTCCCTCTGCCCCCTCCCTCGCCTTCTCTGGGCCTCCCCAGCCTCCATCCTCCCCCAGAGAATCTCAAGGTTTCCTCCTGGGGCAAGGAGAGGCCCTGGGTACCTTGTAGCCCTGGTTGATGCCGTTGATGAACTGGGGGCTGGGGGCATTCCAGGTGAAGCGGATGGCTGTGGAATTGGTGGCTTCTGCATGCACATTGCCGGGAGGGACCGTGGGAACTAGACGACATCAGAGAGACAGGGGTGAGGGAGTGTGGAAGGGCCCAATCGGTCTTCTTGCCCAGTTCAGTAAACACAGGCATGAGGTCTGCAGACTCTGCTTGGCCACCCCCCTGCCCCCCAACTCCTCCCTCGCTGTGTAGATTTAAGACGCCCTCTTACTCTCTCTGGATTACTTCAGGTTTAATAAAACTTTCCTGACCCACCTTGCAGGTTACCAATAAATAAAAGTGAGGGGTATGAAAAATGCTCTGGGGCATTTTTCAGGTAGAAGGCTAAATGTTGGCTGTTTCATGATCCAGTTAATGTGGAACTTTGTAAAAGGTCCCTGTATCCCTGAAGCCTCTGCCCTCCACCATGTCTGGCCCTGGCTTCCTCTGCATCTTCCCCTCAGTCCTCCCACCTTGCAGGATAGCTGGGTGCAGGGTGGGGATTCCAGCACCAGAGAGCATTAGTGAGGGCCTGGTTAAAACAGGTGACACAGGTTGAGGTTCTCAGAACAGGACAGGTATAGGACCCGACGGGTGCAGAACCTGACAGGTGCAGGATCCAGCAGGTGCAAGACTTGGGAGGAAGGGAAGCACCAGCACCTGCCAGGCCACCGTCTCTACCTACCTCCCTGCAGCGTCCACTCAGTGACTTTGCTGCTGTAGACGCCTAGCCCGGCACTGTTGTAGGCGGCCACCTCGATCTCGTAGTTGGTCCAAATGATGAGGTCCTCTAGCAGTAGGTTGTTGACGTCTGCATCCGTGATGTTCTTAAACTGGTACCCAACGGGCAGCCCGGCCAGGCAGTACCTGAGGAAAAAGGCGAGGGGGCAGCCGGTTCTGAGTCGGCTTGCTCAGCTTGGTGCCCAGGGAAGTTCTGTAAAGCAGGGCTGTCCAGTAGAACTTTCTGTGATGGTAGAAATGCTCACTATGTGTGCTGTCTAATAGGGTAGCCACGAATGCACGTGGCTATGGAGCACTTGAAATGTGGTTAGTGCAACTGAGGAACTGAATTTGAGTTTGATTTGTTTTTAATTAGTTTAAGTAGCCATAGGTGACGAGTAGCCACCTTACTGGATAGCACAGGTCTAGGGGATATGCTCAGATGGTTCTTTTTTTTTTTTTTTTTGGTCCTTTTTGTGACCGGTAAGAGGATTGCAACCCTTGGCTTGGTGTCGCCCGCACCGCGCTCAGCCAGTGAGCACACTGGCCA